GGAATAGAGAGTTGGATGCTCCGGTGAAGAGACGGGGAGGGCAAAAGGAGCTGGAGGTGCCCCAAAGGGACATGGGGGTGCCCAAAAGGGACCTTTGGATCCCCAAAAGGACCATGAGGTGCCCAAAAGCAACTTGGGAGTCCCTAAAAGGACCCTGAGGTGCCCTAAAGGGACTTGGGGGAGCCCCAAAGGCACATTGGGGTCCCCAAAAGGACCTTGAGGTGCCCTAAAGGGACTTGGGGGAGCCCCAAAGGCACATTGGGGTCCCCAAAAGGACCTTGAGGTGCCCTAAAGGGACTTGGGGGAGCCCCAAAGGCACATTGGGGTCCCCAAAAGGACCTTGAGGTGCCCTAAAGGGACTTGGGGGAGCCCCAAAGGCACATTGGGGTCCCCAAAAGGACCTTGAGGTGCCCTAAAGGGACTTGGGGGAGGCCCAAAGGGACATGTGGGTCCCCAAAAGACACCTTGGGGGTGCCCAAAGGGATCTTAAGGTGCCCTAAAGGCACATGGGGGTCCCCAAAAGGACCTTGAGGTGCCCTAAAGGGACTTGGGGGAGGCCCAAAGGGACATGTGGGTCCCCAAAAGACACCTTGGGGGTGCCCAAAGGGATCTTAAGGTGCCCTAAAGGCACATGGGGGTCCCCAAAAGGACCTTGAGGTGCCCCAAACAGACATTTGGGTCCCCAAAAGACGCTTTGGGGGTGCCCAAAAGAGCCCTTGAGGTGCCCTAAAGGGACACGGGGGTCCCCAAAAGGACCTTGAGGTGCCGCAAAGGGGACACTGGGTGCCCCGACCAGACCGAGGTGCCCATAACCTGCCCCAGAAGGCAATGAAGACGCGGGGCCGCCCCCCTTGCCCCACGGGCGCCCCACAGGCACCTCCCCAGTGAGCAGGTGGATGATCTCGAAGGCGTGCTTGACGATGCGCACGGTCATGAGCTTCTTCCCGTTATTCCGGCCGTGCATCATCATGGAATTGGTGAGTCTCTCCACGATGGGGCACTGGGCCTTGCGGAAGCGCTTGGCCGCGTAGCGCCCGGCGCTGTGGGGCAGGTACTTGGCGTACTTCTCCTTGACAGCAATGTAGTCCTAGAGGGGGAAAGAAGGGGGGATGCCAGACTGAAGGGATTCCCGGCACCGGGAATGCTGAGGAAGCAGCGTCCCCCCAACACACACAGCTTGAAGGCTCAGGACCTGCAAGGAGATGTCATTGATCTGGACATCGTCCGTGCTCCACTTCCCAAAGAGTTTGATGTCCGGGGTCTCGGTCACGGCGGGAGCTGTTTCCCAGTCGGACATGCTGGGAATGCACAGGGAAAAGGGGGGATGAGCGGGGGGAAGCCCCAGGTCCCCAGTGGGGCAGGGGGAGAGCAAAGGCCGCAGTGAGGAGGGGAAAGGAAGAGGCAAAGGGGGAAAGGGAAGAGGAAGAACCAGGAGGAGGAATGGGGCCCACCAGGGCAGGGGTGAGCCCCCCATTAACCCCTCACACCCCCCT